TTATCGTCAGTGGTGTGTCTTGCCTAGTGTAGTGGTGTTGGGAGTAGCGGTGCTGGGATTAGTGGTGACGGGGTTAGTGCACGCAATTGAGGGAGGGCGGGAGGTGCTTCTTCATACTAGGTAAGACACATCATTTTATTTTATAACGCGGATATTTGCGAAGTAAATTTTTGTAAAAGCTTTCATTTTTAATAAGCTTCCTTTTTAATACCATATTAGAGATAACTTTCTCTTAATAGTTATCTATGTAGAAATAATCTAGTAGTAATCTCTGTAGAAATGTTTCGTAATGATAAGGATGTGAAGGACATATCGTAACTCTCTCTCTCTCTCTCGCTCTGTTTATTCAGCTGAAGTAAACGTTATTTTACGCAGTAAGTCTTAATAATTAAAAATGTTTCTGAAACTTGTAAGTACAAAAAAATTGATAAATAAAACCTTAGTCTAATTTTAAAGTTTTATTGAATGTATGCAAAGCTTAACAGTGGAACAACATAACAAAGTCTGACCGTCCAAAACCAGGCAAGTATAAAATTGGTTACGCTGTGCGAATAACCAAAATGTTGTTTTAGCTAACATATTCGCCGGACGTCCACTCCATTTAGCATATATGAAATACGTTTTACTTAAATTGAAGCATTAGATACAAAATATATATCTTACTTTGTTTTTATTAGTATTCTACTTACTACTTTGTTCCTTTTGATAATCTAATTTATCAACGTTTTTTATGGCGGTGTCCTAGCCTTCACTTGCACTGGGCAGACACTTTAATTTTATAATCTATTGTATGTACACAATATTTGTATTTTAGTGCATGTAGTAGCGTTGTAAAATATCCACTACACCATATCATCCCGTGGGTGTCGTTAAAGGTGACAAAGGGAAACAGATTAGGAGATGGGTGATAGCGTCTTCCTAATATCGACTAAAATAATTTTTTTTCCAAAAAAAATAAAAGTGACTTCAAAACTTTTCCCCCATTACTAAAAAAAATATCTTATTGGTTGCTAAGAATTTAATAACCATAATTCTCATAAAAACTCTCATAAATTGCGTAATTGTAGATATTAAAGTGTACTCCAAAAATTACTGGCTAGTAAGTAAGTGTTCTCACCGAAATGTTTGACATGTTCACACCGACTCGGCTTGATTGATACACAACTAAACTTAAGAGCAACTTCCTCACCGACTTGGGTTGATACATGAGAATTTATGAAACGAAACTGAAGAGCAACGTTCTCACTTAATCAGCTTGATATAGTAGTTTTTATCAAACGATAATGAACAGCAACATTCTCACGACTCGGCTTGATACACGATTTTTTCAAACTTTTTTTTTTAACTTTTTCACGAGCTATATCAAATTAATCTAAGAATGATTCGATTAGACGCTATGCAGCAAGCGAATCGCAATTGCGGGGACGTATCTAGTAAAAATTATTATGAAAGGGCTATTAATATTTTCGCAGATTTTCCATGTATCTTTTGTAAAAAAAACGTTATATCCATCATGCGGCGCAATTTACAAACTGCAAAACTTCATCCAAATCATTAAAGTCGTTTCCGATGACGTATTATAACATCAAATAATACATACATAAAAAAAAAATAAAAACTCTGGGAATGAGGTGATCGCCACCATGCTGGTTCTGTTAAAACTCATTTAAAGGAGACGGTCCATTTCTGGCCCAGTCATGTACAGTATACCGTAAAAAAGAGAAAAATTCAGGGATCAAACTTGCTAAAAATAAAAATTCAATCCGAAGTTTTTAATGCTTTTACAAGATGGTGTCCTTCCAGTCATAAAAAAGTAAAAAAGACACGGTTATTTGTCAAATGTCATTTCTGTCAAATGATATTTTTATTTATTCCGAGCTTGGTTGTGTAGTTCGGAACTCGTGAATGCGTTTAATTGTGGATTTCTTTGGCGATTTGGTTTTGTGTTTGGACTTTGGATCAGTTACTACTTGTTTGACTCTGCTTTTGTTTTATGGACTTAATGATTTACTTAGATTTTGATTTCGTTGATATCGGACATCTGTATTCTGCAGAATCACATTTTGCATCAGTAAGCAGGTATGTACTAAAGAAAGATGTTTCCTTGAGCTATTAAACCCATTTGCATGACATCTTTAGTCTGTTGATAATTATTAATTTCTACATAAGTTCAGAATGGCTGCAAAATCTTAATATGATGTAATTATGTTTCAGTTAACCTGTTAAAACATGTTGCACTGTTTAAAATGCGCATCTGCAATATAGATAGTTTATTAAAATAAGATTGTTTTGTTCTAGATGGATTAAAATGCACCAATATGTCCACAAAGTTTTGCAAACGTATTACAAGAATTATCTGTCAGCACAAATATTGAAAATGAGCTCCAGCGCCCTAAAGCCATTACTATCAGTATATTGTACGTTTGGTGTCAACGAAGACCGGGTAGCAGACAAGTGGTGACTCTTATTTTAATAAGAGGCCTTATAAAATCTCGCACTCACTCTGGCAAAGCTTATTATACATATATACTGTTGGCGAGACAAGGAACAAGTTGGTATGAGATGGTTGCAGGTTATTATTGCAGTTGCACTTCTGGACAAAAGACAGTGGGTTGCTGTGCCCACATAATGACCGTTGTCTGGTAATTGGGTTCGGCTCGGTATCAAAATTCCATAACCGCACCGGCCTTAATTCTGGATGGCATTTTAGTAAGAGAGGATATTTAAGTAGGACAAATAAATAAAAAATAAAAAAATTAAGCTGTTTTATTTATATTACCTTAAGTTTCCAAAACAGGATTGACCTAATGTTTCACTTTCTATAATTTATAGGACCTTAGTTATCACATTATCTAGGCTTTTAATGTCTCTCAAGGCTCAAGGAATACTGACACGCTGAGGACATGTTATTTGAAAATATTTGTACGCCCCAGCATATTTAGGATGCGAATTCTTTTGTTACAACTGTAATCTCACATATTAAAACCAATAAATTATATTACCTATGATTGTACCCTAGCACTTCAGCAGCCCAGATAGACACATATACCTGAACAGAAATTATTATTCAGGATTATTCTGTTTATCCACTTTAAAACAGCCACTCTAAGATATAATAAGTTAAATATATTCTTTATTATTAGTGCAGTAAAGTAGTATCTCAGGGTGGATTTTTTTAGGGTAGTGAAACGGAGTTACCCGCTATTCAAATATAATCTCGGCTTTGAGCTATCTGACAATAAATTTTTGTAAAAACTAACAAGACTCCCAGGCCTCATTTCCCCATATAAAACAAAAAAAGTTCTGGATGCCCCTGGCACTGAAGTGTGTATTAGTTAAAGGTTCTGTAGTACACACCAAAGAAAGCAATGAAATAATTTTGTGCGTAGGCACCGTTGATTTAACTCAACAATCTTCTTGTCTGGAATAAGGTAGTACTATTTACATTTGTTTTCTCCTGAACTGCTTTTATGATATGCAAATAACAACAAGAACGTTAGTTGTATTAAGACCAAAAAAGCACATACACAATCTATAATACGCATTATTCGTGTTTTGGTAAAAAAATACAACTTTTTGCCCTACTTTCCTATTCGTTTTGAGACATTTTAGCTATTTTACATAATAAATCTACCTGATAGGCTATGGGTGATATGAGTATATTTCAGAGATAACAGCCAACGTCAAATCAAAACGACATCAATCCGCCATTAGTGTTGCATTTTTTGGTGAGAATAAAATATTAATACCACTGAAATTAAGGCAAATTCGTGGATTTAAATGATCAAAAGTGGTTTAATATTTTATTTTAAATTATTTCCATACTAGTACAAAACTAGGCCCACGCTTCATACTATTTTGGACCGTCTCCTTTGTACAAACAAAATTATTATAAATCGAAATATGTTTAAAAAAGTCCCGCTGGGTTTCTTGCTGGTTCTTCCCAATACAGAGGTATTTCCGAACCGGTGGTGAATAAAAAAAGACTTTCAATAAGTATTATGTAATAATCTATATAGAATAAAAATTATTCTATTCCATTCTATTCTATTAGTTTTTTATTTTTATGGGATATCCCTTAAATGCATAGAATATTTATGATTATGAATTTGAAAATAAAAAAATTATGCATGATGCAGAAAAAGTTTCTTTATTATATAAAAAAATGTTAAAATAGTTGTAGTAATTTATTTTTTCATATAATATATTATATATCATGCGATGGATTTTTCCATCACTATGCACTTACAGTTAATATACATATAGGTAATTGCCATATTTGATATTTGGTAGTGTGAAACCTAGTAAAACAGTTATTATTTTTGTTTAGGCATAAATTTATGCCACATTTGGCATAGCTTATGGTGGTGTATCCTGTACAATGTGGATACTTACAATGAAGCGACACACCAACATCTGGCCAGTGCCCTAGACCATCCATCCGTATATCCAATGGAGGGATTGGTTTTGATTGTAACCTCTTCTTCTTAGCTTGCAACTCCTGCTCCAGGCTGGAAGAGCTAGGCCGACCTCTTTTATTTTCGTTTGTGCCTGAGTTACATAAAACATAGGCCAGCTCGTTTCTGAACTCACCTAAGTTTAAAATGTTCTTTTTTGCAACATTTTCTTTTATTGCATTATTTTTATATATAATCCAGGAGTTGATAACAGCCAGATCAAACAAATGGAAAAATATACGAATATACCATTTACGAGATTTTACTCTTATGTGATATCTACCCAAGAAACTATCTAACAAGTCAACAAAGTCCATTACAGAATATGACTGTTATATTCTGTAATGGACTTTGGACACAATATATCAACTCTTTCCCTCGTCTTTTTATCAAACCTTTTGACGGTTGAAACAGGCTCTGTTCCTATGTAACTTGATAACATAGTCACTATTTTATTGTCCTTCCATGCTATGCAAGCTAAATCAACTCCCTCATATGACGCTGTTCTTTCTTCATAAGTACCCCTAGGGGTATTTTTTTTCATCATCTCTTTTTGTCTGGTAGCTTGTTATTAGGAATTCTGTTTTGTTGAATTGTGCCAAGGCAATGTATTCCTTGCTTAGCCAAATAGATAACTAATGGCACAGATGTATAGAAATTATCAAAGAAGATAATATGGTTGACCATTCGTGGAACATCTCTGGTTAAGCGAAGCACAATGTTATTTGTAGAACCTAAGTCAGGCTCACCTTCAGGTCTTGTCGAAATGTCTTGGCCAGAATAAATTTCAAATTTGTAGGCAAATCCAAAAACACTACATAAAACATACAACTTAAATCCCCACTTATGGGGCTTATTTGGTAGATATTGTTTTAGATAATGTCCCACTTTGGTGGCACACATTTGTTCATCAATTGATAGTCTTTGATGTTTTTTTACACCGGAAAGGGTTTGATTTAGACTATCAATAATTGGTCTCACCTTATATAAGCGGTCATGTCCTGGTTGGTTAACTGGTATATATTTGTCATTATCATTGAAATGGATATATTTTTTGATCTTTTCAAATGTATTCACATTCATAGTTTGCTTTATAGGTTCAAATCCAAAACGCCTTGACCAGTACTTGCGTGTGCTGTGGAAATGCTGAACAGACATGTAAAGCAAAATGCCTAAAAACTTTTTCAGGTCATAATGAGACAAATTAAATCTATTTTCAGGATTTAATTGGGTGGCATATAGATTAGTTTCTGATATTATTTTGTTACAAAGTTCAGTTGTAAAAAAGTAGTTAAAGCATTGATATGGTGTTTTTAGGGCTGTTATTTCCGTACCTAGATCAGTGCTTCCTTCAAATTCAACATTTGACTCAGAAAACTGAAGTGTACTCTTCTTCCAAATCAGCTTCCTCTTGTCTAACACCCAAGTCGAACAAGCAGAGTTTTCTCCTGCTTTAGATGCCACAGTTTCTTGAATCGGAGGGGGATCATGCACATCAACTTGTTCTTCATGTAAAGTAGGTTCATTTTCCAGATTATCATCATCCTCTACGTCTTGCAGTGGTTCATTTCTATTGGTGTAAAAGATACTTTCCTCATTATCTTCCGTATCAGACATTTCCATGCCATCTTCTGACAGATATCCTCCTTCCAGAGCAGACAAGTACTCTTCAATGTCTCTATCATTGATTATTCTTGATCTTGGAAAAGACATTTTTGCTGAAATATTACATAAAAATCATTATAAACTTGAGATAAACTATAAAAGAATAATTGTGCTGAAAAGTTAGGTTTCCATACATCGAGAACTACGACTAATGCATATTGATGGAAATTTCCATCATAAACAAAAAGACCCAGAATACAACTAAAAACTATGATTCTTCTAAAACAAATTGCCTAGGTATTGAAAACTTACCTTATTTTATGAAATAAAATTTTTTTCAATAATTACTTGTTCGTATAAGTTCACAAACTAACAATCAGAAACACCACAAAACACAAGTAGTTATCGTTTCACTTGAACAGATGATTGACCATGACAGTTGACATTGACAGTTTTTTTTTTGTTCAAAAATGTTGCCTAAACATCGATGTTCATATACATGTCCGTAAATAAATTCATTCGGATCACAGACTAAAAATAAAGACAAAAATTCTTAACGATGGAAATTTCCATCACTATGAAATTAAGGGTGTATGGAGTTAACGTCTGGTTTGGCTATTTAAATATATAAAAGGAAATGATATATTTACATGAATATACATTAGAATACATAAAGTAAATAATAAAAATAAATAGATTTCATCGGACTTTCAGTTGAAATTTAAAGAGGTCTAAAGTCCTCGATAAGACAAATCATAAGAGCCGGAACACGCTACAAAAATTTGCTATATGCACCTTCGAGAAGTTCCCCTTAACTAACTTCAATTCTTATAACTAAGAAGATCAGCTTGAGGTTACCATAATAATGTTAAGTCATGTAAATTACGGCTATGTGCCAAGTTTCATTAGAATCGTTTAACCGGAAGTAGTTGAAAATCAAAAATTATCTACTTAAACAAGAGTTCAATATGAGTTTTCTTCTACTATTTTCCACCCTTAGGGCCAGAATTTTTTCTTCATAATTTAATGGAACTACCATAGAGAAAAAGCCCAATTATTTAAAAAATAATAATTGATATCAGTTCACAATCTGAGAACATATCATATAAAATTGCTTAAACAAGAGTCCGATATGAAACTTTCCCCCTATTTCCCACCAATAAGTTGGAATATTTTCTTCAAAATTGAATGGGACTACTCTTGAGGTAAAGTCTAATTAATAAAAAAGAATCATTAAAGTCAGTTCACAATCTGCGAGGATATCGCGTAACATACATACAAAAAAACATACACTCGGATTGAGAACCCCCTCCTTTTTTAAATCAGTTAATAAAAAAACTGCGGGTGCCAACCCGTTTGCTAAACGTGGCAACTATGGGAAATTTCCCTACTATGAGGCAATCTATAGGGGGGCCTAAGTCCAGCAGTGGACTTTGATAGCCTGTAACTGTAACAGTAATATTATTCTATTTATTTTAATCTATAGAGGTAGGAAGAACGAACGTGACATAGAGGGAAAGTACTTAAAATATTGAAGATATCAAATTTCACTCAAAGGAAACATTCATTTGTTTTTCAAGATAAGAATAACCATATTTGAATATTATTATAGAAAGCTTACCTGAGCCAAAGAAAATATAAACTACTGAGCCGGGAATTGAACCAACTTAAACTGCCAAAATAGAAAATCACTATTTTATTTAAGAGTAGGTTATCCCAGACCAATTATAACGCTTTCCCAGCTCACGCCGTTTAACTCGACGTACGAAGTATTTATTTACGATGCGATTCTGTGCTCCGTGCGGCAAATACACGCTACTGTATAAATATTTGCATTTGATCAACTTAATTGAATACTATAATAATTGAATTGATACTTTTATTCTTTGTTAGGATGTCTTTATTTCGTCAGATTTACATTTTATTATTAAGTATTAGGTCCTTACATATGAAATTGGCATTTCGTACGGGAGGAATATAAATTCAATTTCTTTTTTGTAAAATATATTTAATTCATCAAAGTATGTACCGTTGTTATCTGTGCACTTTTGTCATCTTATAGGTAGTTCATTGATCCCTTTACTAAAAATGCCATGGGGGCGAGAATCAATGAACTCATTGAAAGCGGTTTGGACTGCCGCATCGGAGTTGATTTTTTTTACTTGTAAGAAGTTTGCCAAATTTCAGAAAAAATTGTAATCTGTAGGAGCAAGGTCCGGGGAGTACGGTGGATATCGCAGACATTCCAATTGTAGCTCATCTAACTTAGTGATTATTTGTGGTGCAGTGTGTGGTCTTGTGTTGTCGTGGAGCAGCAGTGGCCTAGAGCGATTTACCAATCTCGGTTGTTTAGCAGGCTCGTTCTTCCTTCACGGTTTGCAGTTGCTGACAATAGATATCTGCTGTAATCGTTTGACCAGATTTTAGAAAGCTGTAGTGAACGACACCGGCGCTAGTCCACAAAACACTCACAAGTAACTCTTTCTAAGTCAATTTTTGTTTAGGGCAGGATTTGGCTCGGTCTCCAGGGTTCAGCTATTGTAACGTGCGCTTCCCATTATCGTACAGTATCCATTTTTTATCACAAGTAATGATTCGATTTAAAATCCCTTCATTATTGTGTCGGTTGAGCAAAGTAACACAGCAGTCGACGCTTGTTTGCAAGTTAAATTCACTCAATTCATGAGGTACTCGTGGTTCAAGTTTTTTTTTACTTTCCCGATTTGCTTCATGTGGATTAATACAGTTTTATCACTTACCCCGAAGCCTGCAGCTATCTCTGAAGTGTTTTGTGATGGATCCGCTTCCACAATAGCCTTTAATTTTTCATTTTCCTCTTTGGTCTCCTGCCGTCCACGGGGTTGGTTCTGAAGGTCGATATTTCCAGAACGGAAACGTTGAAACCAAAAACGTACCGAGCTTTCTTTTGCGACACCAGCGCCGTACACATTATTAATCCTCGAGCTGTTTCTGCAGCACTGGTGCCACGGTAGAACTCGTACTCGTAAATATACCGATATTTCCTATTTTCCATTGTGCTGTAATAAGCGACGACAAAGAATAAAATAATGAGGGAAAAACAAATGATTAACTGTTTTCAAAACTCAAATTTTTAACTCTTAACCAAAGCGGAGATATTTCAGATAAAAGTGGCCAGTAAGACAAAATGCTAATTTCATGTGTAAGGACTTAATAGTTTACTTTTATTATTGCATAAAATGTACATAATACAATGTCACTTTATGGAAGTTTTAATAATCAACTTCGGGAAACTACGACACATTTTCTCGTTAGACATACCTCAAAACCTTAAAACGATATTTTGCAACTAGTGCACGTTGCCAGTGGTGACTTCCGGATTTGAGACGTAGTCTTTCACTGCTGGCCGTGTGAGGAAGCTCAAGGTCGTACAGCGAGCTATGGAGAGTGCTATGCTCGGGGTATCTCTGCGTAGTAAACTTAAAAATGAGGATATTCGCAGTGAAACCAGAGTACATAGCTCAACGGATTAGTAAGCTAGTAGATGTAAACACGAGCACACTTAAAAAGAAGTATAACTTCGCCTCCAGGTCCTTCAAAAGAGTTATTGCCAAGGACCGCCGACCATCTCGCGGTGTGAATGCTCCATGCCGGATGTGCTGTTCTCACAGCGCTTGGTTCGCAAAGCACTCCTCTCACTGGAAATCCAGAAGTCGAGTGAGCCTGACGGAATCCCCCCAATTATGCTGAGGACGTGTCTCCGGAGTTCGCACCGGTCCTAACGCGTCTTTTCCGGTACTCCTACTCCCAAGGCGTTGTCCCGAATTCATGGAAGAAAGCTTTAGTACACCCGATCCCTAAAAAAGATGACCGCTCAGACCCGTCCAAATACAGACCTATCGCCATCCCTTCCTTGTTCTCCAAAATAATGGAATCCATTATTAACTGCCAGCTCATGCGGTACCTTGAGGATAACCAGCTGATTAGTGACCGCCAATACGGTTTTCGTCGGGGTCGATCAGCTGGTAATCTTCTGGTCTACCTGACCCATAGATGGGTGGAGGCAGTAGAGTCCAAGAAGGAGGCGTTGGCCGTTAGTTTGGACATTGCGAAGGCCTTCGATCAAGTTTGGCACAAAGCGCTTCTTTCGAAGCTCCCTTCCTATGGGCTTCCCGAGAAATTGTGTAATTGGATCACCAGCTTCCTTGCAGATCGGAGCATCAAGGTCGTTGTAGACAGTGCATGCTCCGACTATAAGCCTATTAACGCTGGTATTCCACAAGGCTGTGTGGTATCACCAACGCTGTTTCTTCTGCATATCAATGACATGTTGCTAACTGGTAACATTCATTGCTATGCGGATGACAGCACTGGTGATGCTCTAAACACCGGCCGTGCCAATATTTCTCGGGAAAACGTTGCCGTGTACCGGACCAAACTTGTGTCTGAAGTCGAGTTTTGCTGAACAAAGTCTCGGATTGGGGGCGACTAAATCTAGTCCAGTTTAATCCTCAGAAGACACAAGTTTGCGCATTTACCGCTGAAAAGAATCCCATTGTCGTATCTCCTCAGTTTCAAAGCACTCCCCTTCTCGCCTCAGCCATATTTTACTGTAATAATATATAATAATAAATAAGTACGTCAAGTGTAGCTCCAATAAAAGGATAGATTTTATCAACGAACAATCTACAAGGCTCTATACTAAGGTTCTTTTGCTAATAAATATGCTTTAAGGCCTGCTCATTATCACGAGCAATCGACACCACATGAGATATATTTTTCATCTACAAATTCAAATTGTTTTTTACCTGGTGTAGAATATGGTGGGTGATGCATACTCAACTCAACTGAAACAAAGCGTTTTGAATGGTAAGGCCTGCAACATCAGATCGATGGGCAGGGCCATTATCATGATGAAAAAGCACCCCAGCACGCAATTTCGCTTAACGTTTACAACGTTCTTTAGTTCTTTGCATAGTTTTTTGCTTAATGATGTGTAATAATTTCCGGTTAGTGTGTCTCCCTTATTTAAAAAGTCGATCATTATTATATCTTTTGCATCGCAGAAGACAGGATCCATTATTTTTCCAGCGGACGCAGAGTCCTTGAATCTTTTAATCTTTTGGCTG